CAGTGGAATTGGTTGACTGCAGAATGCAAATTTACAGTCAGTTAGCAACGGACTAAAAATATTTGTATGTTGAGCGTTTTACCGTTTTTGTTCGTTGTTGTTTATTGACCTACGCTTATATTTTTTATTTATTTTATTAAGGATTTTTATTTGGAAAATGTAATTATAATTACTTTAAATATAATATTAGTTATAGATTTTATCAATTTAAAACATAATTGTGTGTTTAATTAGTTAGGTACTCCATAAGTTAGTTCGTTATATAATGTTGCTTATGATTTTTTATAGGATAAAGGTGACAAACGAGCACACAGTCCACCTGATGGTAAGTGGATGCTGTGATCCATAGACATCTACAATCCTCGATTACGAATCAAAATGCAGATGCGTTGACGCGTGAGGACTAAGATGGAATGCCTCGTTTCCAGTAAAAGGGGTCACCCACCCTATGACTGTGTGCTCGTTTGTTACCCTTATCTTATAAAAAAGCTAATATAGCTGTAGCATAGCTCAACCACGTATGTTTAAAGGGATACTTATTTAAAAAATGATTTTAAAAATCTGTTACTTCCCTAATAACATTATTGTACACAAAAAAGAAGTGTTCAAAATTAATATTTAAAAAGCTTAAGACATTGAACTTATAATATATTTTGATTATATCGTGCGTAAATAAAATGAATGAAAAGGAAAAGTGGACGATTTTGATTCACGTCAGTGTAACTACAGTCTGCAATAAGACTGCTTCTGTATAGCTCCCTGTCATTTTCCCCGAGCCGCGGGAGTCGGGCCGGCGCCGTCTTATTATGCAAGGTCATTGTAATCGACTCTCAGCACTCTATAAAATCACAGACTGAATATTGTGTCTTTTAATCTTTATTATAAAGTGTTTCTCAGAACGTATTTTGATGTACGCTTCAAATATAGAAGAATATTCCCTTTTATTATTCATTGTGTCTAAATGTGATAGCTCAAGTAAATTATGAAGGACATAAAACAGTCGATAATTTAGCGCCTCATTACTTATATGCGGGCAACCTAAATTAGATCCTTCAACATTCAAATGATTATTTTCTTTTTAAAGTTCTGATCTATCGCAATACATTATGCAGTACGGAAACTTTATCTCTTATAACGATCTCATAAATAAATGAGCCTTATAGAAGACAAATAATAACTTACATAATATTTATACTTATGTGTATATACATGTACTTAGATATATGTGTATGTATGTATCGATTTATGTATATGTATTTATTACGTGTATATTATATTGTGTATATCTCTAATTTAATGATTATTATAAGAATGCACACTAAAACTGCTTCTCTTTGAACAGTCCAGTATCAGGCCTCCTGGAAGAAATTTCAATACGAAATAAGTAGTGCCTTTGTAGAAAAATATCTTTTTATTTTTACCTTGTATGCACATAAGTTGTTTAATAAAATATAGAAGTAAAATATGTATACGAAGATTAAATAAATAACTCATTGTACTCGATCATATAATATAACATAATATAACTTTAACATGTAGGTACTGAAGCTAAATTCTGGCCAACAATTGTGCAAAAACACAAACTATTGGTCTGTTTTATAGCTCAGTATGATGTTCCGGTTTTGACTGCCTTGTTGGTATAGTGGTTGTAGTGGTGCGACTGCTGATCATGAGATCCCGGGTTCGAATCCCAGGTCATGCCAAAACAAATCAGTTATTGAGTTTTTCCATCAAGAAATTCTCAGTAGCTGCCTGTATTCAGGGTGTTGGTGGTGTCTCACCCCCGTGCCTCGGAAAGCACGTAAAACCGTTGGTCCTGCGCCTGATCTCTCTCCGGTCGTGTCGGTTTACCGTTCTATCGGACTATGAGAGTGAGGGAAAAGAGAGTGCACCTGTGTTTGCGCATACTCTTGGGCACTATAATCCTGTCCTGCGCCGATGGCTACTCTCCATTGACATTGACATTGGAGGACATTATTATTGTTCCGGAAGACAGTCTGAACGAGATAAGAATAGCTCTCCAGCATCAAAAACGGCAAGTCCCCGGTCGAGGATGGAATTACAGCAGAGATTCTGCAAGCGGGTGGTAAACTGGTACTTGTAATCCTTCGGAGGCTCGTTAATTACGTCCTCCATGGTGGCACCACTCCAGAGGCGAGAAGCAGACGTTTATACGTGGTAGAGCTATGCTGCAGCTATATTAGTAGTATATGTGTGCCACAAATGGGTCGGCTCGACCGGGGAAGGACCACGCTCCCACAGAATACCAGCGTAAAATAGCTGCTCAACGCTGCTGTGTATGGTGAGTGTAGAGAACCTGAGACGCATTTCACTGGAAACGAGGCATTTCATCTTAGTTCTCACAAGCGACAACGCGTCTACATTTTGAGTTAACACATAAAAATACATACAGTCGAATTGAGTACCGTCTCCTTTTTGAAGTCGTTAGAAAATAGAGTGTACTAGTTAATTTAGCAATGTTGTGAGAACGAAATGCCTTGTTACCAATAAAAATGGTCTCCGGTTCTCGTTACTTACTATATGAAACAGCGGCAATATGCTACTACTTTCGAGTTGGTAATCTACAAAAGTTGATGACTTCCGTTCAAAAGATATCATCGCATCGTGGTTAAAATATGTGGCAAGAAAATCATCAACAACGCCACGTCCACCCTCAAATAAATTTAGCTGCATCGCATCCACATTATCTATTAACAATACGAATCCAATGTTCATAATCAAAGTTTCGATATGTTCAATTGATTCGAATCAGTTTTCATTTGGGCTGAAAACTTGGACGCATTTGCCGATTTCCGCCTACACATATCGTATTTCCTGTTGTCAGAGCACAGGCATCGTCGTTCGACTGAGCATTGCCAGGTGCACTTTTGTACAGATAACAATGGCGTCCATTGCCTTTTCTGACTGAAAATAATTAGCATCTATTAGCTTGCAAAGATGTTAAAAAATGGATGGGTATGCTTCGGGCTGAGTTCCACTTTTCTTTAAAAAAAAAACTATAGAATTGAACTTAAAACTAAATCTTAAGAATCGAATGAAATTGGCATTTGTAAATATCTTTAAAAATTAAAAATGTGCACGAATTAAACGTATTATTCCTTTCTATGAATTCTATCACCACATCACTAACAAATCGTCATCATCATACATAGGTTTCCCGCATAGATTGCCTCATAGAGGGAATAATTGTCATAGAAGCCACGTTTAGCAAGCGGGTTGACAAACATTGATTCAATTATTTTAAGTCGTTATTAGAAAAATGCTGCAGCCCATCCCCTGTTTCAGTTTCCCTCTATTGCCTTTTACGACCAATGGTTCCCGCTACTCACTATACGATGAGATAACATGTGCTAGTGGATTCTCTTACTCCGCCACTATACGTTTTTACTATTAAATATCTATTTGTTATTTTAGCGATTTCCTCTTGGCCGATTTCGTTTACGGTGACAATTTTTCCGTTTGTAATTGAAACATTGTATTGATGTCTTTCTCATGGCGAGTGACAAACATCGAAGGATATTTTATTGTTTTTTTTATTTAAGTCGCCATGGGTAATGTTTTGCATTTTGATTTTAATTGAGAATAGATGTAGGTGTCCGCGGATCTTAGCTTCCACTTACGATCCGGATTATTGTGTACTTTCTATAAAAAATACATAACATATTTTGCACGACTTTTGCGTAGACAGTGTATCAGAATAATTTTCTGCCTAAAATTCGTGGTAAAAGAATGAGAAATTAATCAATGACCGCATGTGGAGTGACATACGTAAATTTTTTCAATCTTTCAAAACACATCTGGCAGCCCCAACTCGCGTTGGTTTTCAGCGCGCCATTTTTATTTCATCATAATTCCGTTTTCAATTTCTAGCGAGAGCGGCAGTGGCGAGATTGGTGCGTAAAACTCGCGTAAACATTCGAGCGGTTGTGGAACAGTTACTCCCCACTGTGACCAGTTTATGTCGGTGCAGAGTGTAAAGAGATAAGGTTCTTTATGTGTGTAATCATTTTGTGTTACGACAGTCTTCGAAACTCGTGACTGTGACTGTTATTAAGCTTTTCCTTTGCCTCTTAGTTCTGCGCCTTGATTTAAATTTAGGGGTGTTTTTCTAACATTATAATGGTAGCAGTATTAAAAAAAAACACTTTTAGTCTAGATGTCCGTTATTTAAATTTCACTTTATTATCTGTGTTTGGAATTCAAAATTTTAAAAAAAATCAGATGGTAACGTGCTTAATATCGAAATGTAAATAATTCATTTTATTTTCCGACTCTGCATACCAACCTGGATTATTTTTGGTAATAGTTAACAAGCTTTAAGTGATAATATAATGGATAGCATAATTTTAAATTACTTTTAGGTCAATTTCAGAACATTCTGAATACTATTTAATCCAAAAGAAACTGGCGATAAAGAAAAGATAATTGAAAACAATTGTCTGTTTTCTATTTTCAACGTACACATTTACCACACTCATCCAATGAATTGGCGCCGCGTGATTACGAATTTAAGCAGTCGCTGCTAATATGAATGACAACGGGTCGACCTACTCGACATTCATTTCCCTCGGCGCACCTCTCTTATAATAACTTACACGGCTACATCGCCTTAAGATACGAATATATGTATGTATCTACGTGTAGGTACGCGACAACGAGGAGCCTCTTAATAATATACTTTAACTAACTCTCTAAATGATAAAGTAAAGTTTTATTTATTATATTCGCATTCAGCACATTCAAGTGATTGCATTGGCAATGCGAGTCTTTTGATTTTTCCTTTTAAATCTCTTATTTCAGGTTCATGAATAGAACGAAATTACAAGCGGGCTACAATTTTCGCTCGTTGAATCACCGAACAGCAACACAACTTTATACATTTTTGATAAAGGTGCAGGTTTTAGCGCCCTATAATTCAGATTCGATCCTTGAATGCGAGCGAACGAGCGGGTGGCCGAGGTTTAAAAGTGGCCCTTCAATCAGCCCTTTCTTGCGGGCATGCGCGGCGCCGAAGCACGAAACGGGGGTGCGGAACGGATACGAGGACCTTTGAGCTCAAGCTCTTTGACACGAGCCACAGCCACACTCTTCAAGTAATGATTCATTCTTCTGATGACTGACGCAGCTAATGCGTCTGTTTCTCTTTACGCGGAATTTGGTTAAGGATCAAAGATACGGTCGCTTCAAATTAAATTCGTTCGACGAATTCTTCTAGCGATTATTCTTTAGTATTATATTTATTGGTCATAGGATTTATTATTTTCCTGCATGGATTACTAAATGCACAATTGCTACTTGAATTCGATTTAGGTATTATCTGCTTCAAAAGGTTTAAAATATACAAGCGGATCAACCATCAAGTGACCGATAAAACTGACGACTTGTAAAGCTCAGCGCATCTCTCCATAGCATAGAGTCCTCTAGAGTTATAATAATAACAATAACCATTTATTATTTATACGGCCCAATCAGATCAGAAAACTATATAAATATACCATAATCATTTATTTCTCGGGTTCAAGGTAATGTGAGAGACTGATGCCTCAACTAGGCGGCGAATCCGTATTTTAGGTCAGCAGTTGTCAAAATTCACCAATTATTCACAACAATAGTGATCTACTGGCGATCTTGTGATCGATTCGCATTTAAAGTCCTTGCTTTGAGCCAAGTTCGTCAACTTGTTAAATATTAACGTCTTCATTTTGTTTAATATACGATTATAAATTTGCTTGATATCTAATTAATTTTATCGATTCACAATAACCTTTGTTTTGTCCATTGGTTTTTCTACAAGAGAATGTATTCTAAAAGTTTGCATTTTAATTATCAACCAGTTTGTGTGAGGTTACTTCGTCGATTTATACAAAGTAAACAACAGTTATTTACCCCACGGTACAAATGTTTTTAGCAATTATTTTAAATCAATCGGTTTCTTTTATTATTATTTCATCGAATTCATTATCAAATCATAGCAAAAACAATTTTAATTTGTTTAATTTAATGTAAACAATAAACATGTCATCCAAACGCCATTTATTAGTTATTATATAGACTTTCCCTATCCTTGATAAAGGTGGCAACTAAACGTAGTCTTTTATATACTCCTTGGTTGCGACGTCTACAAACTACGTTATGAAATATTAATTAGTAAAAGTTTGAAAAACTATTAAAATTAACAAATCCTTGAAAAACTTAAATATTTCAAATGAGCGGTCATATTAGATATGTACATGTAGTAAGCAAAATTATGAATACGACAATATAAAAAAGTTTATAATACCAAATTATTGTGTGTATGATTTAATCATGCTTTGAAATCATATAAGTTTTCACCATAAATGTAACGACTTAAAATCATTAAAATGAAGCAGCTTAGTTAGTTGGAATATTTTGTGGTTGTACATTTTTTTCATATTATTACACCGACTTTTGGAAAGCTTGTTTGTTAAATTGTTTTAATCTACTCAAACTTCTAATTAAAAGTTTGCTAACTTCAAAAGCTTATGCTTGGCCAGGCAGCTGCGTTAATTATTGTCGACAATAATAAGTACTTTGTATCACTTTGTCGTGACCTTTTTCTTAATTTAGACGATGAAGAAAGTCAAGTCTAATAAATTTTTCTATTCACATCGATGCCTCTTTCTCCTCAAAATAATAAAATATTAATTCTATTTCTTATATAATTATATTATTTCTACATCTTGACTGTGGGAATCGCTTTATTTTTCTAAATTAAAAATCTTAGTTTAATACAAAATAATTATTTTATACCTGCTGAAAGAACTACTCACGAATATATTTGTAACACTAAAATAATTCTATCAAGAATGTAGAGTCATTTACTTAATGATGGATTTTGTAGTACTACCAACTGCATATAGCGCTACGGTGTGATTTATAATCTTACATTATCTTTATCATTGCCGTTACAGTCTATCATAAGTGCTCTACTGAACACAGGCAGGATAGGTTGCCTCATATAAGGGATATTTGTCATAATTTATACGTGGTAGAGCCATGCTGCAGCTATATTAGTAGTATAGTTGTAGCACGAATGAATCGGCTCGACCGAGGAAGGACCACGCTCTCACAGAATACCAGCGTAAAATAGCAGCTTACAACTGCTGTGTTTCGTATGGTGAGTGTAGAGAACCGGAGACCCTTTTAACTGGAAAAAAGACATTCCATCTTAGTCCTCACGGGTGATAACGCATCTGCATTTTGATCTCGTTTGGCCACAGCAACCACTTACCATCAGGTGGACTGTTTGTTCGTTTGTCACCCTATCCTATAAAAAATTGCCATGCTTGGCAGGCTCTTGGCAACCGCCAAAATTATACTATATAAATCACTAGCAGTATTATAATCTTAAATCCTACAATATAGTAGCCTGTTTTAAATGTTTTCAAAGTACTCTTTACTTCTTAAAACATACTGAAACGTTACTTTATACTTTTCAATTTTCTTTATTTTATTTGAAAGTACAGAGCGTGCGTCCATAAAATATAATATATTCAGTTGATATGAACTCCGAAGGAAGGTCGTTATCATGTCAAAGAAACTATCACATTACCGGACTCAAAGATTGCGGTTTGTTTGATGTCAGTTATGGACGATGGATCCCTCTCAATAAATTGTATTACAATCTTTTTATAAAAATATTCAATCATATAACGGCTTCTAGCATAAGGTGAGGTTTGATCCCGTATTAACAATATATGTATTATCGTCAATTCAAACTACGTACGCACTACGTTCGTTCAGTTTATGGCATTTGTAGTATAGTATATTCTCGACAATGATTTCAAAGTAATATATAAGTCAATGATTCTCGACCTACTGGAACATATTGAAGTATCCAGTATAGGTGGAACATTAAATATTATATTATTATATTGGAATAAAACTAATTTTACGAATTTTATTCTTGACAGCAGCAATAAGGGACTCAGTCCCTAGTGACTATGAGTGAATCCTTTAAAGTGCCCGAAACGTCAGGAAAAAAAATAAGTTAAAATTAAACGCGAACAATTCCGTAAAATTAGCTTTATTCCATGTGTAATATTCGCGTAAATTATGAAACTGCGGTTGCCAAATATTCTCCGATACGACTTAGGGTCCTTAAAGAAATGAGCCTACTATTTTTAAAAGGCCATTTCCCTCGTGTTGCAGTTGTTCATAGGCGACGGTAGCCCCTTACCATCAGGTGAGCCACATGCTCGTTTCTCCCCTCTTATGTAAAAAATAGGCAAGAGTCCACTACCACGCTACTCCACCCACGCAATAACATATGGGGAATTAGATTCATTCAATTTGCCACTACATGGCGACATTGTTTGCTTTTACAAAATGGATATTGTTTCTTAAGTTATTTACTGTAGGACATGACCCTGTGAACATTAGCATAGTAAACTAATTTAATTACTTACAATTCACGCACAATCCCTGACGGGGTAGCCAGAGAGAACAGATCGCCAAGTGTCACGATCCTTACAAACCTCTTTCGCTTCTTTCAGATTCATTATCTTCTTCATGCATGCACGTCTAGGTATCCGAGTACTCTTGACCCTACCCTCTTCGAGCAATTTGCTCACATGGTCTTCGAAAGTTAGTCTCGGTCTACCTCGACACCTTTTAATATTAACTTTCGCGCTATATATTTTCTTCACCATTCGGTCTTCACTCATTCGCTCAACGTGCCCAAACCACCGAAGCACGCCCTTATCAATTTTTGTGATAAGGTCATCTTTCAAACCTGCCATATTGCGAATATCTTCATTTCGCTTTCGGTCGGCCATGGTAACGCCGCACATTTTACGAAGAGATCGCATCTCCAATGCATTCAACTTACTTTTATGCTTCTTCTGGCATACCCAGGTTTCGCTGCCATATAACAAAGTCGGTACCAACACTGCGTTATGTATTGCAAGGCGTGCACTCTTCGCTACGCCTTGCCTTTTGACTAACGCAGTCAGGGCACCATTGACTTTGTTCCCGGCAGCGACACGCCTGTCCACATCTAAATCACATCTTCCATCCCGGCTAAAAGCACTCCCCAAGTATACAATTTCATTTACCTGTTCTAGACATTCCTGATTTACCCATATTTCACACTTCGTTCTCTCTTCGTCCCTTTCAAATACCAGAACCTTAGTTTTATTAGCATTTAAACGGAGACCTTTAATTTCACATTCCTCTTTCATACACGTGACTAATGCCTGCAGTTCTGCCTCTGATGGTGCAATAAGCACTGCATCATCAGCATACAGCAGACAATTTACTTTTATGTCACCCAATTTCACACCCAAACAGCTATCTTTCAGCTTCTGTAAACAGCTGTCGAGATACAGTATGAACAGCCAGGAAGACATGACACAACCCTGCTTTACGCCCGTTTGGACGCTAAACATGGGTGACAGGTCATGCCCTACCCGCACACAGGCTTTACAGTCACAGTAAAGATAGTAAACTAATTTAGTGTTGCTTAATCGGTCAACTCTCCAATCCTTCTAATAACAAAAATAGTTTAAATTAATTTAAAAACTAGTTTTTTTTATATATAATAAGGGTGACAAACGAGCACTCAGTCCACCTGATGGTAAGTCGATGCTGTGGCCCATAGACATCTACATTTATACTCAATTAAGAATCAAAATGCAGAAGCGTTGTTACTCCTGAGGACTGAGATGGAATGCCTCGTTTCCTGTAAATAGAGTATCCGGTTCTCTACACTCACCATACGAAACACAGCAGCATTAAGCTTTTTTTTTATAGGATAAGGGTGACAAACGAGCACACAGTCCTCCCGATGGTAAGTGGTTGCTGCGCCCCATAGACATCTACATCTATCCTCGTTTGCGAATCAAGATGCAGATGCGTTGTCACCCGTGAGGACCAAGATGGAATGCCTCGTTTCCAGTAAAAAGGGCCTCCGGCCACCTGCACTCACCAAGCGAAACGCAGAGGTAAACCTCTACTTCACGCTGGTATTTTGTGAGGTCGTGGTACCACCCCGGTTCGAGCCGACCCATCCGTACGACAGCAAAAGCTGCCGCGTGGCTCTACCACTGTTAAGCTGCTGTCTAAGCTGTTATTTTACGCTGGTATTCTGTGAGATCGTGGTCCTTCCCCGGTCGAACCGACCCATACGTGCTGCAGCCATAATACAGCTGCAGCGTGGCTCTACCACGTATTAATCACGTTTACCAATGTGTGCTTCCCACTGGAACTTGAAATCAAGAAGATCAAGAAGAATTGAAGAAATTCCGTGAAATACGGTCAAATTTTAAAAATTTAAATTGATATATTTATTTTAGGATTTAAATATACACGTGCACTTGTTTCATTGATATAGTACACGAGTACATTCAAATCACAAAAAAAAACATGAAATTTCATCAATTGACTCCAATCGCAAATAAATTATATATTTATATATTTTTTTAATTTATTATAGCTTTGTGTGACGACTTAGATAAACTATGAAAATATTTTTTCTGCGTTTAGAAGCAAATTTTTGCTGCAAAGTATTTGGAAACAATATCCAGTATTTGGTCGGGCCGTTCCAATGCAATATATTTTCTTTTAACTTTAAATCGGCTTACTGCAAATCAGCGCTGTAGCTTCGACAACTAACAGCATAAGCTCAGTGAAATTCGTTGCCAAACTCGCTACAGCACATATGAAAGGAATGAAAATATATTTTATCAGATTATTATCATATTGTGTTAATAAATTTTAATTTTAAGCACACAGTATTATGGCGTGTATGCAACAAATGTTTCTTTCTTTCTTTCTTTATAAATAACAATAAGATATCATCAGTAAACAGAACTATTTCAGACTCTCAGATAGTTCTCAGACAGTTTTGTATCAGATCTTTAATGTAGAGAATATTTTTTCTCAGCGATAAGACCTATCTAGACATGTAAAGTAAAATAATTTATCTAAGTACAAAATTTCATCTAAATCGTTTGATCTGTTTCCGAGAAACCAGTTATACAGTTGTTTCTTTTTTTATATTATTAAAAATTGATTTGATTTGATTATATGTCGATAAAATGATGATTTACTGTAATAATACTGTAATCAAACATTTTTTGACCAGAACTTGTAGTATGCATAATGCCATAAAATCCGCAAACAAAACATGTTACTCTATAATAATTTACTTTACCCAGCTGCGAGTCTTGGCTAGAAAGTTAAAAAGGAAAAATAAAAAGCTTGACCATATTTAAGGATTCTAACTCGCGCACTCAGGTACGGTAGCCCTACACTCTAGCCATTAGGATGTTAAGCGGATGATCTCTGTGACGAAATTATCAGTCATATTACCCATAAACACCTAATTATAAAATTCATCAAAAAGGTTAGAGCCGTTTTCGAATACGTGATTAAAAAATATATATCTATATATATTGCTCGGTAGAAGAAGCACGAGAGTAGAAGAAATGCTGTAGAAATGCGGTAATTGAGACAAATGTTAAGTGTATCTTTGAACAACAGGACAAAGTGTGCCTTGCAAACTATTGTGACCAAGATTAAGAAAGAAATAGTTCGGTAGTTTGGTCAAAGAAAGAATGAATAAGAAAAAAAAAGAAGGTTTATCGACCAAATTGTCGCTATGTTGAAACTAAACGCTTACCTAACGAACGTGATTTTTGCAGATGTGGAAGAAGCGTGAGAGAGGTGTATCAGGATGATACCAAGTGGAAGTCCGTAGTCTCCCTTCCCCTCTGGGTAACAGTCGTGAATGTTTATGATGATTATCATAAACAGTACAGTAATGCAGCTTATACAAGTCACCTCTCATTTCAAAACGTTTTTTGAGCTGAATAAATTTTGATGCGCTACCCCGAACCTACCTATACACATCTAATATAAACATACTATACATACACATATATAGTAAATATAAACATTAGATGTTATATGATATACTGCTATACATACGTACTATACATATCTAATGTTTAGACGTTCAGGTTTCCTTACGATGTGGTAAATCAGGTCTTGAAGTTGCTTTTAACAACTTTATTGGTGCCGGTAGGAATAGAACTCGGTTTTGGTGCTATCTTTTTATCGGCGCTCTATATTTTCTATATACTATATTAGGAAGAAAAGTTACATACGACATTATCAGAATGCGACTTTATTTGCAGTAATCACCCTGTTTCGCAAAATCTTGGCACGTGCTAGGGCATAACAACTCTATTCCCATGAAGTTATATTTTCATAAAACAGCACACAGAGTCACTTAAAAAGTCAAATGCACGCCAGTGAAATATATATCATGACGCACAGAAAAGAAGAATATAGCTTTTTATTCTGCTGACCGAGCAGACTTGCATTCTTACTGCATATCAAAGCGTAAAATAACATTTCCTTAATACATCTCGAATGACGCCGGAGTTTATGTAAATTATAATACACGCCTGGAATATTTCGGTTCGCGCAAAAAGCTTCGAGTGCGGCTAATGCAAAAGTCGACTTGTTACGCATTCAAGCCGTGTCCCTATTAACGGACTGGTGTTAAAGATATTCCTTGTGAATGATACTTTCAAATTCGTCTGAAAGACGCCGATGATTTTAAAATGAAGACGAATGAGAGTGAAATGCTAAGTTTTTATTAATGATGACTTGCGGAAATGGGTATTGAAATGGTTAAGGTTATTTTGATTGGATTTAATTTTTTTAAAACAATTTTTTTTAAAGTTTTAATAATATACCTAAACCTAAAACGTGCGCATTGAACTTAAAATGTACCGCCATACTTTCTTGCAAATAATTATTGAATGAATAGTTTCGAAACTCGTTGCCGTCAACTGAATTTACGTACAGTTACAATACTGTAAGCGCTTACTGACACACCGTAGTGTAGTTCCGCTTTGTAGTTATAAATTGACCAAAAATCAATGCACTGATGTCACAGTTATATGATCTTCCACATTTTTGCAACTGGAAATACCTTGAATATTATTAACTAAATTTATAAACTGATGTTTTCAATCACTACATGAACATTTAATGTTTGTGTTTTGAAAATTCATCTTTTTAAATCTTCTCCTTTTTTGTGAAGACGTTAAGCATACATAAATTGAATATTGACAATCAGATCTGAAATAATTGTTTGTCCAATGCAAACAATTGTTACGTAAGAAAATATACCCGCAGCCCGGATCACACAACTAAATGCTGCACCACTGCGTCACCGATACACAAAGTGCATCAAAAAATTAATTACATAATAAATTAAAAGATAAGGTTACATTATTGTGTACTAAATTTTTTTTTAAGTAAAAAGTTATACCTATATACGTCCCACTGCTGGGCACAGGCTTCCTCTCAATTCTGAGAGGGTTTTAGGGCAAGGAAAGGTCTGCCGCGCTGCCCCAATGCGTGTCGGCGAACTTCGCATGTCTTCGAAAAATATTTTTTTCTTATTTGTCAGATATGCAAGTTTCCTCATAATGTTTTCCTTCACCGCTGAGCACGTCGTAAATCAGCATTTAAAATTGCAATTAACAATTTCATTGGTGCCGGCGGGGATCGAACCCGGGTTGCTCGTGTACTGTGAAACTTACAGCGAGCGCTAACCATCTGAGCTACCACGGCTCTTTAAATATATTTGTTTATTTTATGCTAATAGATGAATAAACATTAATAATGTAAATAGCGGTAGCTCAAAGCAAACAACTCAAATAAACATGCTGGCGATTTATAAAATTCGGGCATTCCACGCATTTGGACGGTTTGCTTCGTTGTTTGTAATTTATACAGCAAACGAGTGAAATGGTTTGCAAGCATTTATTTGCCTTTTCCTCTGATTGCAATGAATATGTTGTCTTCAAGGCAAAATTGGGTAGCCTTTAATAAGTTAAGAGTGACATTTACCAACTAGGGCTACATCAAGAAGAATATTTTAATTTTGAAAACTATATAATATTTCATCAGAGCAAAAGTAAAATATCGTGAGAAAAGCAATTCAGCTTCAAGAGAGAAGTTTGCTTATTCGAAAAGCTTTTCGAACTGTAAACTTCTGTATTGAGAATTATGAGAACTGACCAATTTCTTTCAATGCCCGACGAAATTACACATTTTCAGGACATTCGGAAAATAATATCCAAAAAGTTTTATTATATTTATTTTTTAATAAATTTAATATGTTCTTAATATTTGTTTCAAAATTTAATCCCATATATCTATACAAATAAATAAAATTGAAGTGTCTGTTTGTAATGTAAAAATTACAGTTTTTTACTAAATACACATGAAAGTAAATACGGTACTTATAACTAAAATACAATTTTTAAAATTTTTGTCTGTCTGTCTGTCTGTTTGTTCCGGGTAATCTCCGAAACGGCTGGACCGATTTTGACGGGATTTTCTCTGGCAAATTGCTGATTTCATAAGGAGTAACTTAGGCTACTTTTACTTTAGAAAAATAATTAGGGTTCCACAGAAAAACATAAAAACCCTAACACGCGAACGAAGTCGCGGGGAACAGCTAGTTTTATATATTTATGCTCGAATAAAGAAGAGAGTAACCATATAACTCTTGAGGAGTAAGATATAATGCTACTCTTACATATCTGTCATCTGTGGCCATCTTTATTTGAAGTTGGTTGCAGATATCCTTAGGCTGCAGCAGCCAGTTTTATCAGGTGGACTTTTACAAAGTTTCTTACTATATTATCATAAGAAAATAATCCACTGTATTAGTAGAATATCAAATTATTCGTTCGTATAGAAAAATATTATTAAATTAACGCATTATAGAGTTTTTTTTTTTGTAAATAAATTTAAAAAACATGATCAAAAATAAAATAAAGATAAATAATAAAATATAAACTCAGCGGTGAAAATTCTTTAATTAACATGAGCGGTCAAAGTATTAATTTCACCATTAATTCTGAGTAATGGCGGTGCGAATAATTTAGGCGGAATTAGAATTTAAATTATATTTATGTTTTTGCTTTTTCATCCACATATTTCCGTATCTACTTCTAATTGGAACGAATGCTTTCTAATTATGATGAGCGGATATGAGAACAAATAGGGGTAGAGCGGTGTTTTAGTGATACGTTTTACATTTGAAAATCTTTATTATTACTTTTTTGAGTCAATAATATAAATACTATCAATTTACTAAAGTATTAACCTTAGAATTACTATTAAGTGATGTTGTCCGACGTTGATTTTGACTTTATATAATATAAGTAAATTAATTTCTTAAATACGGCACATCTTGTCACGGACACCTAAAAACTTGAAGCAAGAGTGTACAACCAGTGCATGTTGCCAGTGATAACATATTGATCCGAGACGTGGTCCTTCAATGTTGGCCGTATGAAGAAGATCAAGATCTCTCAACGAACTCTTTCCTCTCTCTCGAGTAAATATCTACATAGAGTGTCTCTATAGAGATGCACTCTATTTGGCAAGCGTATTTTGTTGCATTTTGTAAGCGGACACACATACTTCTACTACATATTACAAAAACTATATTTTATTATTTATTCACTACAAACCGCAATACATAATAGTAATAAGTTGTTATTCACTTTTACTTTAGTAGAATTAGGTATTTATTTACGAAAATTTAGAGCAAAAGTGTAACTTATTTTGCATACTTTAAGCAAATTGGCTAAAATTTCCCCAGACAATGTGCAATTTACTAATAACCCTTTTCCTTTTCTTTCCAGGTACGTATTTAAAATGATCTACATTAATGCCTTTGTATAAGGGTAAGTTGTTACTTGAAAGTTATTATCGGTTCCTAAGGAAAAAACGAATCAAAAAAAGCGATGGAAATGAATTTACTATTTTTGCTTTCAGCATTAGTCGAAGTCAAAATAAATATTCAGCTTAGCTTATTTGAAGCTTACGAATGAAAACATGTACTACTACAGATTTCAAAAGATTCTTTTTCCTGAAAAGTTTCAAAGAATTTTACAGGAAAACCGGAAAGAAATATTTGAGTTAATCATAACTATGTTTATTTTATATTGCATTTATTATATATATTATACATTTATATATAAATTTTTGTAACTAACCTACGGTCTGCCAACTGGTAAGTGGTTGCAGTGCGAATGGACAACTACATCTACCATCAATTAATAATCAGATGCGTTGACACCCCTGAGGACTAAGATAAAATGCCTCGTTAGCAATAAAAAGTGTCTCCGCTTGTTCTCAGTAATGCTATGAAACATTATGCTGTTACTTTATGAGCCGAACCATACATGCTGCCGCCGTAATATATTTGCAGCGTGGCTTTACCAAGCAAACAATAATGTTAAAAATGAAATAATTACCCCAATTTACATTATAATTAAATATGATTATCTTTAATAGTTTATTATGTTGAAATAAAAATAAATGAATTCCTTGAATAGTAATAAATCTTCATAATAAAAATGAAGCATAAAATGAAATGGATCGACCTTAACATCTCTTGAATTTTCATAATAATGTACAAATTGTTAAAATTACTGAAGTTAAAACTTTGCGTTCATAAAGTGATAGTCCTTAAAAACTAGAAATTTAAATTAAACTTTTAATAATGAGTAAAGACTGACTTCAAATAACTAAAAACAGTAAAATAAATTCTTCATAATAGCTTCTAAAGCTGATGAACGAAGAATTATTAGACGACTTCTTAAGCTATTATGTGAAAATCATTTTATTCTTCTTAGTAATTTGAAGTCGATTTTTTCATCCATTTCAGTGGACTAAGGAATATTACAAACTAAGCAATAGAAATGAGGAATATTACAAACAAGGCAGCGCAGCAAACAAGCATGCGGCTCAGATTAAAAAAAAACCTGATGCTAAATGTCGACCGCCGCCCATGAACAACTGCAACTTTAGGATAATTGCAGAAGCGTTGCCGGCCTTTAAAAGAAATTAGTATTAATATCTTAACGGATGATAAAATGTACTAAGTGGATTTTTTACTTTAAATTTGAATAGGACTCTTGGAGTATAAAATATTAATAAAAAGAGAATTATTAAAATTCATTCATAATTAGCTAAGATATCGCGTAACTTATTTCCTATCTATCAGAGACCTCGACTATTTCAAGTCTTTCCATAAATCTTATCCGTGGTAGAGCCAAGCTGCAGCTATATTATGCTTATAGCTCGAAAGTTTTGGCCGGAGTACCACGCTCTAACAGAATTCCAGCGTATTATAGAGCTTAACGCTGTTGTTTCGTATGGTGAGTCTAAAGATCTGGAGAGCCTTTTTACTGGAAACGTGACATTTCATTTTAGCCCTCAGGGGTGAAAACGCATCTGCATCATCATCATCATCATTACAGCCCTTCAAAAGTCCACTGCTGAACATAGGCCTCCCCCAAAGAATGCCACAAAGCACGGTCCTGAGCCACCTGCATCCATCGACTTCCTGCATGTCTTACCAGGTCGTCACTCCATCTCGTGGGGGGACGCCCTACACTTCGCCTACCGGTACGAGGCTGCCACTCGAGAACCTTTCTTCCCCATTGGTTGTCGGTTCTTCGAGCTATATGGCCGGCCCATTGCCACTTCAGCTTAATTAAGGATAAATATTGATGTCTATGAGCCACAGAATCCACTTACCATTAGGTGCACCTCTTCTAACACCCTGAAAATACATTGTGGAAATGGATTATCTTATGTTGCGAGGTGAAAAAGTGCTTTCACCACCTATTCATTTTCCATTCATTTTCGATGTTCAAATCATCCTTACAAAATAAAAAATGCTACGTGATAGTTGATTACTTACTTCATTGTCGCAAAAAATTCTTAGAAAGATATATAAGAGGCTTATTAAAACAATATTTTATAATATTGTTAACTTTGTATGTACGCAAAGTTTGAAGCCGTTCGGATATGGAGAAGCGGGTCAAAATAAGATTCAAAGATTGCTTTGCAACAAACAGACTAACGAAGTTTTAAGATCTGTATGACTGTTCCAGCTTACTTGAATAATTTAATTGTACGTTCTACCATGCGTTGTATATTATATCAGCTGAATTTTAGAAGTTAATTTGAAGAAAAGTATATTTTGGTTGTATTTTTAAGGAAACTCTTGATAGAAATGTCTCTAGAAATACATAATTCGATTGTGCATAATATTTTTGAATTAAAGTCGGTCGTAAGGGGCGTAAAACGTGACAGAGAGAAATGAAACAAGACATGAGCACCCAAGCGTGGCACTATGGCAATTATCCACCCTATAAGGCAATCTACGCGAGAGGCCTATGTTCAGCAGTGGACTTTCGATAAACTCTAATAAATGATAAAAATAAATCATTTGTAGTATTTTTTTATAAAATTAAAAACAACGCATAAAGAAAGAATGGGGAAAGAGTGATAAAGCAAATTTGAACTAATAGAGTCGGCGAGGGACGCCCTAGATGGAAATTTATCGAACGAATTGGCGATATATTGAAGATGAGTCAAATTAAGACTACCCCTAACCGACGAGCATGTATACGATAGAGATGCGTCAAGATTGTGCTAAATGGAAGTTCGTAATCTCTGTCTATCCTTCTGTGTAACAGGCGGAGTTTATGTTATGTAATAGTAAAAGTAAATAAAATAGTTAATTATTATATACGATTAAAAAACTCAAATACCAATAAATATTAAATCAAAATTAAAATTTTACTTCTCAAAAGTAAAAGATTCCCTTTAAAATATGAGTTATCTTATATAAATATAACATAATATAAAATTATCTACGGTCAAAAAGTTCTCTTAACAATAAACAATTGCCTATAAACAATGTATTCAGGTTTTTAAAACACATTAAAATGAGTGAATAATAAATAAAAAACCTTCATGACTAATACGACAAAATTTTATTCATTCATCCTAAATTGAACTTATAGGAAATATTGGAACGAGCATTTATCGCCTCTGACAGCGGAAACCCAGCATCCGGCGTCCGAGCTTCTTACATCCCGCTTGCCCGCAGGACACCGCCCGAAACGCTTCACAAAGGTCGATCCGAGCACTTGATAAACCGATTCCGGATGTTTTACTTTATTTACACCATCTGACAACGATAAATGGTCATGAAAAATGTATTTCGATGTTATTTATTAGAACTCTATAGATTGCTATAGGAATTTTCCAGATTGGATTTTTATTTTATTAACTTTTTATTTAAAAAGTGTTTCATATACATATATATGTCAATAT